ACCTGTGCAAATCCTACCACTTAAAATTTTTGACTCGGTCAGTATTCGCTTCCATGGCCATATAATTGAAACAACAATGCGCTTACTAATGCACTGATAAGACCTTAACGTAGCCTTTTTGGAGCACAGTGCAAATTAATGCCATCTTTCTTGAACACACTAAAATGTGTTACTTCTTTATCACCGCGACATGACAAGTCATCGGTAATGTGCCAAGTGAAATCTTGTGCCTGAGGGTACTCCTCATCTGCTTTAGGCGTTTTTCCTTTGATAATTTGATTGTCTATTTTGACTTACGCAGTCTCCGTATTTGATGATGCCTGAAATGTCCCAGGATATGTACACAAGCAGTTAAACACAGTTCCGTAATTGGCAAAGGCCAAGGATTGCGAATAGAATTTGCAGAAGTTAGACCAACTTGCAATGCGCTGACCATGTGACAATTCTTTTAGAAGGAATGCTTTATTAGTTTGTGAAGTATTATATTAATGTTTCGCTTGGGTCCATTAGTATTTTCTGATGATTAAGAAGTGCGTATCATGTTTTTTAAACCATCGAAAAATAATTTTGCTCATGTTTGTTTACTTCATTAGCTGACGAGGCACTATGAAGTGAAATTAAATTTGCTGAAACTTTTCAACTTTAGGCGTTATGCAAGTTGCGCATTGTACCTGTTAAAAAATGGTGCATTTGTTCTTGCTGAATGCCCGTACTATGTTTTAGCCAAAATAACTGTGTTGTGCTTTGAAATGACGCCAGTACTGCCTTCTTCCCAATTTCGCCATATTGTCATATTTCTCTCCTAAATTTTCACTTTTATTTTTTAGCATATGGGCGGTTGTATTCACATGGGAATCTATGTTATTCTTTTGAAAGGCAAAATTACTTATTGGCTATGTAAGGGCCTAGGGACATCCTTATTCGCGTTGGAATTCATTAGTTCCCTTATTAACAGTTAAGGTAATGGGCGCCTTCCATTACCTGATGCCATTTGTTGGATCAGTAACAAATATTTCGCACAAGAAAGTAGTAGCAAAGATTTTGGCATATTTCCACAGCCTTATACCAGTTCGGCATTAATTATATTGCGATTTAGTCATAGTAAACAATAAAATAACTCATCCTATGCATATATTAGTCTCCAATTCATGTTTATAATTGGCAGGTAGTTGTTTTACCTTCTGAATTGACCAGGACCTAAAGTGCTCTCATGATGGATAAAATGAATGAAAACTTACATTTATTCGAGCGATTTTTACTACGTGTGGTCACGCCATCTAATATCAGTGACATTAAATGGTGATTAAAAAATAAATGACATTTAAAGTTAAATACACAAAGTAGCTTGATCTACTGGCTTTACTAAGCCAATATAAGGGAAAAAAGAGCCAAAAAAGAGAAAATCAGCTACCATTAAAAACAAGCAGCTGTTGGAACTCATAGATGCGGGACGAAATTTTTTCATTTACGGCTACTTTGCTACAAAAGGGATCATAACCATTATAAGCAGTTGTCAAACTAGGCCTTACTTTTTGCGATTTTAGTGGCTCTAGCATACTACGTGGTTTGATGGTCCTTTCAACCTAGTAGTCTCGCACTTACCTCTCTGGTTAAACAGAATCCAGCTTCTATCGGTGAGTATTTAGGAAGTTCTAAGTGTGATTTAACGAAAAAATTAATCTAGGTGCTGTGGTTGGTACATTTTAATATTATCTTGAGGTTCACTCAGAAATGCTCAGAAATGTGATATGGTCAAGTTATTTTCTACAAATTTATTGGGAGTTTTCCTCGGATCTACATAGCATTCCAGTGCTGCATTGCTGGAGACCTTCTTTGAGGCTACAATATTGTACTCTAATGCAGAAGAGCAGTATTTTCAAACTCTCCAGTTTGGTTTGGCGGATACATAAGGCTCTGCCCTTAAACTTGTGCCGGTAGCCATGCCAGTAGCTCTCTCAGTTCTTTTAAATGTTCATGCTACACATTCTGCCTGCACATTGTATTCCTTCGTCTTCAGGAAAGTCTCATTCAAGCTATTCAGTTGTAAATTAAAATTGACATTTACTCGGAGTTCTTTTGTTAATCGTTTAAATTAAGAATATGTACCTGTATCAATGAAATTGTAGCTATAAAAAGATTCAATTTCGTTATCTTTCCAAACTAACAGACACCAACGTATCAGTCAGGATCTAGAAGAAAAGACCTATCTGGTAATTAAAGGAATTCATTCTTTCTTCGAAAGAGCCTTAGTTTATTAAAACTCCTTAGCTAGATCCACATTACTTGCCCATTATTTCGAACCCTCAAAGTGTCAGCTGAAGCCAATGCATTGACTTAGTCTAGTCTACTTGATGAAATGGTCTGCTGCTCCAAAGTTGAGCTTGCTTCGAGGCTGGGGCCATGTTTAGCTTCTAGAGGAGATCTAGTTGCAGGAGGTACTGTCGAAGAATCGTTTAAGCAATTTAATTCTGGCGATGAAATGCTTAAAGACGCGCACGTTAATAGCACTTTAATTGGAGGTCAGTGTGAGCGGTGACTTTTCATTGCATCATTCGCCAAACCAAAAAAATGCATCACTGGTTATCACATCCCAACACTTCTAAAAGATTCACCACTTCACCGCCAAAAAACATCATGCTTATAATTTGTGGGCGTATATGTGCATAAGTGGTGGACCACAGACACAAATACGGGTGGGACCTATCTACTCAAAACTCCTCGATGTAATTGGAGCTTGAGCAACCAAAAATTCTAAGAAACAAGTGGTATTATTAAGCTAGTGGAAAGAAAGTCCCCTTTGTATTGGTTAAAGAAATCGTAATGTTAAATAGTGCAAAACCAACCGGTAAGACGATCCCTACCACATCTTTAACATGGGAGGGAAAGAGAGGTATACTACCTAATCCCCATCTCTGATAATCCCACAAGTGATGACGATCACATTTACGTGAAATTAGCCAATAAGATACAAATTAGAGTAGACAGATAGGAAATCAAAGTGTGACGGAGACTGATGTGGGTAGGATCCAGTTTATTACCTTTAAAGGCCAAATCTATATTATCAATGAAATTTTTAGCAGCCTTGCGTTTCTGTGAGAAAGAGTCAAAAGTAACAAAAATAATTTAAGGAACTTTCTGCTATTACGAACCACATGCATCAAATTTTACCGAGCCTATCAGCTGTATAGTTGACTTATTTTGCCTAGGACCTTCTAGTTATTCAACACAGTCTACTTTATGGTAAATTAGTTGAACAACGTAAAAGAGATGGAATGCTTCTTTACATTTTCGGCAAAATTCCTTTTATAGATGCCCTATGAAAGCATAAAATTCCTAAGCGATTCTTCCAAGGCTTATTTTTTCCTCAAATGTACGAAATGCAACATTTAATCATGTTCCACTCCATCGAAGCTGGAAATGACCTTTTAACACTTATCCGAAAAGCTGGCATTGGCAATTTATTTATTAACGAAACCTTACAAACATGAGATCGCATTTAATAAAATAGAGTTCGAAACCTAATACAAGCTCAATTCAAGTACTGATTTTTAACCAAAAGATAGCAATAGCTTTCCCAATATTTTTTTAAGCGTGCTTTATCATCATAAACTCGACCGTTAGTCTCCGTGGTTTTGTGACCTTTTGTGTTTTATAGCACCTCTGTCACTCCCAAAGCCACGTAGCTTTCCTGTTTGTTAAAAGTAAACTTTCCTTTGAAGTCATGGCCTTATTACGTCCTTAAAAATGACTCGAGGTGCTAAATTGGTGACAGCTGCTGATTATACCTAAAGGACACTGAAGGAGTGCCTCTGCCTTCGTGATTTTCTCCAACGGAGAGACTGTGGCATTGCTTCAATTTGTGTCAGCCACTCAGATTTCTGGTTCTGCCGTTAATGTAACCATGAAGGATTCCCCAATTTAAAAATTAAAAAAGAAAGCTGTTTAACAGATATCCATATACAGCAGTAGGGATTGATAACCCCATCTGCATGGTATGAATAGTTAAACGTTCCCACCGCTATAGGATTGCAGAATATTAAAATTTAAACTATTTTATAAATAAATCTCTACTTAATGCTTTAGTTATACAGAGTACGCAGACTATAGCATTTCAATTAGTTGTCCATCGAGCATTCATTTTAATGGAATAAGCTACATCCACCGCATCATCGACCCTGCCTTAGCCTTGAAAAACCCTGGACAGTCGAGTCTCAAGGGCGACTCCGAATAGCGGAGGGCATGAAGCTTAAGAAAGATGGAATATGTGTCTTAAAACGCGCTCTATTTTAACTCCTTTTTTAAGACGTGCTTTTTGGTCACAACTTCGGTCATTTCCCACTTTAGTTTGCCTCACTGCGACTTCAAGATGATACTAAGAGCTACAGTTTATATGAGGACCAATTGCTTTGGAATCAAATTTGCTTGATTCGACTTGATTTAAGCTTTGAATTTAGTGAGAAAATCTAAATTGATTTCATTATGCCTAAAAACAAGTAAGATATATTTTTGTTAGTAGTGGTTAAATATTTATCCAACGGAAACTAGATATCTACAACAGCAATTGGGGGAAGTCAAATGCATAATAAGAAGAATAGAATCCAAATCTTATTTTAAAGGAGAAATTTAAAAAAGCACTTTAAATGTCGGAAAATTTTATGTATTATCATAGCCATTATTAATACAGATCATACGTAATTATGCACTATTTGGTGGTGGCTTTCTAGGTAAATTGCGATTAGCCTCGGCTTAGAATCAAAAAGGATAGGCAATCAACGCATAAAGAGTAGCAGAAGAATTAGCGAAAGAAGAAAATTGAGTGGGACAATTGATGTCATCTTGTTAAAAACAAATAACACGGCCTGACGATTGTTCATACCAATGGCTTCAAAGGTGGTAGGGAACTTTGTCACAATTCCTTCCAGATGAATCGTACTGTTTCCTTAAAAAGAGATTAGATTAAACTGAAGCATCAAAATTGTAATAATAATGAGCCAAGTTTTTTTAACTAAAGCCTAAATTGAAATAATTATAAGCTTTTGGTATTAATTTGTGACATTTTTGCTGATTTCTTTTAGCAGGTGTGAAGTCGGATCCGGGGATTTGGACGTAAAATTGGCTAGCGCTAGCTTGGTACTATCACTGACTATCCTGGTAAACAATTAAAAACCAGCTCAAAGAGTTCTTTACCTTAATTGTACAAAAAGCCGTATTTCCTAGGTTTTGAGGATGACATTTAAACACAGGATGCATAAACCGAGAGAGTAGAGTAGCCTGTTTTCCTCTCCCTAAAAACTGGTAATAAATTTTTTGGTAAAAACCAACTGGATTTTTAGACAGACATCGGATACCACTGAAATTCCCCTTGAAACTGATTTAGTAAGATTAAATTTATTATCGAGATTTACCTACCCTAGATTGGACCAAAATTTAGGCTTTCCTGCGTGCCTGACAGACCTATTTATCATGTTAAACAGCGTTCTTTAGATGAAGACTAAAATAAATGTGAAAAGACGGTCATTTTTTCCAAACGGGGTGCTAGAATAATTAATTGCCCCGTGAATCATTAATTCGTTTTAATGCACCCCCAAGGTCTATAGGCAAAAGAAAACGTAAAATGTCTAGCAAACTCGGAAAAATCCTATGAGAAATCAAAAATTGTTTTGATTTGGATTTAAACGAGTTGATTTTTTCAGTGTGTCATTAATGGGTTAAAAAGGTACCATGCGTTAAGACATATAAAGATGTTAACTGGTAGGGAAGGGGTGTTGCTTAGATTTTGTGAATTTACAGATCCGTCATCAGGCTTCGTCGAATCCGGAGAGAAAAGAGTTAAATGCAGACATATTTATCAATAGGGCTATTAACAAATCCAGCATTTTGTCCAAACTAAATGTAAATGATCAGGTGCGACTGAATATCGTCTAAGTCCGAGTTAGTAGTAGTAATTGTTATTCAAAGAACAATCAAAATTGGGATATGAACTATGACCAAAGAAGGTAAGGAGCATTCTCAAGCACCCAAAGTACTGCTTGGCGCATTAAAAACCACATAATATCTAGTGATGTGGAAATAGCACATTTTAGGTGTGTTCAAGAAAGAACCTGTGCAAATCCTACCACTTAAAATTTTTGACTCGGTCAGTATTCGCTTCCATGGCCATATAATTGAAACAACAATGCGCTTACTAATGCACTGATAAGACCTTAACGTAGCCTTTTTGGAGCACAGTGCAAATTAATGCCATCTTTCTTGAACACACTAAAATGTGTTACTTCTTTATCACCGCGACATGACAAGTCATCGGTAATGTGCCAAGTGAAATCTTGTGCCTGAGGGTACTCCTCATCTGCTTTAGGCGTTTTTCCTTTGATAATTTGATTGTCTATTTTGACTTACGCAGTCTCCGTATTTGATGATGCCTGAAATGTCCCAGGATATGTACACAAGCAGTTAAACACAGTTCCGTAATTGGCAAAGGCCAAGGATTGCGAATAGAATTTGCAGAAGTTAGACCAACTTGCAATGCGCTGACCATGTGACAATTCTTTTAGAAGGAATGCTTTATTAGTTTGTGAAGTATTATATTAATGTTTCGCTTGGGTCCATTAGTATTTTCTGATGATTAAGAAGTGCGTATCATGTTTTTTAAACCATCGAAAAATAATTTTGCTCATGTTTGTTTACTTCATTAGCTGACGAGGCACTATGAAGTGAAATTAAATTTGCTGAAACTTTTCAACTTTAGGCGTTATGCAAGTTGCGCATTGTACCTGTTAAAAAATGGTGCATTTGTTCTTGCTGAATGCCCGTACTATGTTTTAGCCAAAATAACTGTGTTGTGCTTTGAAATGACGCCAGTACTGCCTTCTTCCCAATTTCGCCATATTGTCATATTTCTCTCCTAAATTTTCACTTTTATTTTTTAGCATATGGGCGGTTGTATTCACATGGGAATCTATGTTATTCTTTTGAAAGGCAAAATTACTTATTGGCTATGTAAGGGCCTAGGGACATCCTTATTCGCGTTGGAATTCATTAGTTCCCTTATTAACAGTTAAGGTAATGGGCGCCTTCCATTACCTGATGCCATTTGTTGGATCAGTAACAAATATTTCGCACAAGAAAGTAGTAGCAAAGATTTTGGCATATTTCCACAGCCTTATACCAGTTCGGCATTAATTATATTGCGATTTAGTCATAGTAAACAATAAAATAACTCATCCTATGCATATATTAGTCTCCAATTCATGTTTATAATTGGCAGGTAGTTGTTTTACCTTCTGAATTGACCAGGACCTAAAGTGCTCTCATGATGGATAAAATGAATGAAAACTTACATTTATTCGAGCGATTTTTACTACGTGTGGTCACGCCATCTAATATCAGTGACATTAAATGGTGATTAAAAAATAAATGACATTTAAAGTTAAATACACAAAGTAGCTTGATCTACTGGCTTTACTAAGCCAATATAAGGGAAAAAAGAGCCAAAAAAGAGAAAATCAGCTACCATTAAAAACAAGCAGCTGTTGGAACTCATAGATGCGGGACGAAATTTTTTCATTTACGGCTACTTTGCTACAAAAGGGATCATAACCATTATAAGCAGTTGTCAAACTAGGCCTTACTTTTTGCGATTTTAGTGGCTCTAGCATACTACGTGGTTTGATGGTCCTTTCAACCTAGTAGTCTCGCACTTACCTCTCTGGTTAAACAGAATCCAGCTTCTATCGGTGAGTATTTAGGAAGTTCTAAGTGTGATTTAACGAAAAAATTAATCTAGGTGCTGTGGTTGGTACATTTTAATATTATCTTGAGGTTCACTCAGAAATGCTCAGAAATGTGATATGGTCAAGTTATTTTCTACAAATTTATTGGGAGTTTTCCTCGGATCTACATAGCATTCCAGTGCTGCATTGCTGGAGACCTTCTTTGAGGCTACAATATTGTACTCTAATGCAGAAGAGCAGTATTTTCAAACTCTCCAGTTTGGTTTGGCGGATACATAAGGCTCTGCCCTTAAACTTGTGCCGGTAGCCATGCCAGTAGCTCTCTCAGTTCTTTTAAATGTTCATGCTACACATTCTGCCTGCACATTGTATTCCTTCGTCTTCAGGAAAGTCTCATTCAAGCTATTCAGTTGTAAATTAAAATTGACATTTACTCGGAGTTCTTTTGTTAATCGTTTAAATTAAGAATATGTACCTGTATCAATGAAATTGTAGCTATAAAAAGATTCAATTTCGTTATCTTTCCAAACTAACAGACACCAACGTATCAGTCAGGATCTAGAAGAAAAGACCTATCTGGTAATTAAAGGAATTCATTCTTTCTTCGAAAGAGCCTTAGTTTATTAAAACTCCTTAGCTAGATCCACATTACTTGCCCATTATTTCGAACCCTCAAAGTGTCAGCTGAAGCCAATGCATTGACTTAGTCTAGTCTACTTGATGAAATGGTCTGCTGCTCCAAAGTTGAGCTTGCTTCGAGGCTGGGGCCATGTTTAGCTTCTAGAGGAGATCTAGTTGCAGGAGGTACTGTCGAAGAATCGTTTAAGCAATTTAATTCTGGCGATGAAATGCTTAAAGACGCGCACGTTAATAGCACTTTAATTGGAGGTCAGTGTGAGCGGTGACTTTTCATTGCATCATTCGCCAAACCAAAAAAATGCATCACTGGTTATCACATCCCAACACTTCTAAAAGATTCACCACTTCACCGCCAAAAAACATCATGCTTATAATTTGTGGGCGTATATGTGCATAAGTGGTGGACCACAGACACAAATACGGGTGGGACCTATCTACTCAAAACTCCTCGATGTAATTGGAGCTTGAGCAACCAAAAATTCTAAGAAACAAGTGGTATTATTAAGCTAGTGGAAAGAAAGTCCCCTTTGTATTGGTTAAAGAAATCGTAATGTTAAATAGTGCAAAACCAACCGGTAAGACGATCCCTACCACATCTTTAACATGGGAGGGAAAGAGAGGTATACTACCTAATCCCCATCTCTGATAATCCCACAAGTGATGACGATCACATTTACGTGAAATTAGCCAATAAGATACAAATTAGAGTAGACAGATAGGAAATCAAAGTGTGACGGAGACTGATGTGGGTAGGATCCAGTTTATTACCTTTAAAGGCCAAATCTATATTATCAATGAAATTTTTAGCAGCCTTGCGTTTCTGTGAGAAAGAGTCAAAAGTAACAAAAATAATTTAAGGAACTTTCTGCTATTACGAACCACATGCATCAAATTTTACCGAGCCTATCAGCTGTATAGTTGACTTATTTTGCCTAGGACCTTCTAGTTATTCAACACAGTCTA